CTTTAAAACATTTATAAATCAGTATTTGGTCAGCAACGAATACTTTTATATGGTTAATCCCTGTTGTGACGTCGCCAAAACTACCGTTAATAAGATAAAAAATTATCCAAGATGCCAGATGGTGGACATCTCGTTACTTCAAGTCAACATATTTCAAGATATAGGCTAAGCAAGATATGAAAAATCGGTAACAGAAGTTAATATATAGTTTCAAAAGTTCCTTCGAATGAGAAAATAAAAATTTATATTGCCATTTCCCTTTAAATAAATGTATAGCTATTGTTGTGCGCTTGGAGGGTTTCCTGAGCAACATTCAGAAATTTGCAAAGTTCATTAAGCGAATAATTGAATGTACAATACAGCACGTGGCTTTTCGGGCATAAATTTCCACAAAAATTTAGCTTTAAAGCACATTTATTTCTTTAAAACGTTTTACAAAATCAAGTACGGTCCACTTTTAATTATAAGGGGAAAAGCTAAAGCTCTCGGCATCTTCATATAACTCCTCATAAACTCTTGCACTCTTCAGGGATTTACTTAAGTATCTGGCAAGCATATAAATTTGCTGTTTATCTCTATAGCTTGATGTCTTGAATAGCACGATATAATGGGCATTAAGATAAAATAGCCTATATTTGACCTATAGCTTCTAACGAACTTTTTAAAACGTTCGTTAGAAGCTATAGGTCGCTGAAAAATTATAGGCTATTTTATCTGAAATCGACTGCTACGTTATTCATGTCTATATAGCTAATATGGTAATAAATGTGCCAAACAAAGCTTGCTATATTTTTGTGTCTTTCTATATGTATATATATATATACGTGACATTGAAAAAATGCCTCTTACAAGCGTTGCATGTTTTCTTGTTTTTGTAAGAAAATGCCGGTAAAAGAATGGATAACATTCTTCGCTTCTTTTCTTAATATTCCATTTCGCCAGAAAAACACGATGCAATTAAGGAACGAGGCAGCAAGGGCAAATGTACTCCTCCAGGGATTGAACAGAATTACCATGAATGTGCTCCTTTCCGTCATCCCGTCTTCTATAGCTGAAGGCAAGAAACAAAGTACCGTGCAGAACAAAACCAGCAGACATGATTTCGCTTCTCGTACGCCATGTAAAAAAGACTTGCTTTCACGGACGTTTGATGATCGTACCCCACCGGCGAAGCCAATTCTTCGTCTCTTATAAACAGCCATAGAGATTTTAACGTGGATGAAGGTAAGTGCTATGAATGTTATTAATATGAAGATGGACGCAAACAATTTGGCAGCGCGTTTGCTGATGTGGAATACAAAAAGGTATGTTCGAATGATCGTAATTATACCTATAACGCATATAATTGCAAGTACGCGTCTGTTTGTAACTTTAGTTTTGTGGAAAATAGGATATATAATGGACAAGTATATTTCAACATTTAAAACAACAAATGTTGTGAAAGATATGGCGACAAAAAATTCCACGATTATTTTTTTCACTGTGCTGCCAAAACAATCCTCCATGCCATAAATTTCTCTGCCCAAGTGAAACAGAAACACTGGTTCAACAATAATCCCAACAGCCAAATCGTTACCAGATAAAACCATGACAAGAAATAACGTGGTCTTGCGTCGCAGTTGAGATGATTTGCAAAGGGCGTGTACGGCCAAGTAGTTAAGAAATATAATCAGGAGTGTTTGGATGATATTAAAAGTGAAACAAATCAGGTGGCTCATATAATATATCCAGGATGGAAATCCAGCAACGAATACAGACTCGACATTTTGCCAAACACAGTTCTCAAAGTACGAATAATCTGCAGCTGGCTTCATTGATGCTTTCATTTTAATCTCCCGCAAAGGCAAAATTTAAGTCTTATACGTATAGCGTTTCTTTCGATATGTAGGCTTTTCTTAGAATGTTTCCTTTTGGTACATGAGAATTTCGTAGAATTTGTATAATCGTATAGCTACTTTATACGGCGAACGAGATTTGGATATCACTTGAAAATTAAAGCTGGATGTTTGTGACAGCTCTTGCATGGATGTGTTAATAACGACCAATACGACGCATTAAAGTTGTTCGAGAATAACATAATCATTGAATGTTAAATATTACGTATCAGATCGAAGCTGCCTATTTAGTTAGTTGTCAAATAATAAGCCCGTGTCTTGTCATGATAATTATATAGCCAAACTACACTACATGAATTTGCTATTAATGTAAAAGAAGAACATTTTTTATAATTACCCTAGATTTTTGTTGCCGATGATAGATGATTAATAACAAGATATATCATAAGCGCAGATTCAAGCTACTTATATATATGGGTTAATATGAAGGGATGTAAATATCTACACGGCAGTAACAGGAGGATGTATGTCCAAAGTTTTAATTAAAATACGTGTTTACCGAGACGGTGGGAAAGAGCGTGTTTTGTGTTTCCAAGAACGTCGATGTAAATAATAGTGCTTTATTAGCACACAAAGTGTCACCAACGGAATTAAAATCAAGTAAACGCTAAGCCGATTTCAATTTTTGAACCTTGAAGCTTGAACAGCACAACGCTATATATTTATTAATTTTAGGTACAAAGTGTTCACGGTCTAATAGAAGATTGCAAGAAAAGCATTAACAGATACGAATATACGAAAGCTATACGCCTATCGCCGATAGATCTCACTGCTTGTGATCTTAAATGCAGCCATGCCATGGCCAATGGCCATGCAATGGACCTTTCCCCTTATAACTAAAATTTTGATCTAGCCAAGTGTAGACAAAAATTCCATTACAGCTTGAAAGAGGATCACAAAATTAGTAATATTCCGAAGTTTCGTTGCGAAATGTTGTAAAATGCGGATAATATAGCCCTGCGAAATTTTCAGTCATTTTGTATTACAAACGGGAAATTGATGCCCCAACACCCGATTGGGCTGTCAATTTCCCATGCGTAATACAAAATGACTGAAAAACGGCAAATTTCGCAAGGCTATATTATCCTCATTTTACAACATTTCGCAACGAAACTTTGGAATATTACTAATTTTGTGATGCTCTTTCAAGCTGTGATGAAATTTTTGTCTAGATCAAAATTTTAGTTATAAGGCGAAAGGGCCATTGCAATCTTAAATTTGGCCGAGATTGATCGAAATGTATAGTAACCGAGCTTGGACGCAGGCCGGCCGCACTGGCTAAATTACGTTTAATAGAACCACCTGCATGATCTGGGATTTTCCTTGGAAATGGGATTTAGTATCTAATAGTCGTTTGGTGAAATATTCCGAAATGTTCTTGAAACTTAAATTGTTTTTTGGCGATAAACTTAACTTTCAAATAATGTCTTTGAAATTATGTTGTTCCACATTCATTACCGGAGATGTTTAAACAGCAATCCAATACAAATTTTGCTCCAAAGTAAAAAAATTATTTACCACTATACTCATTTTTACGGCGGCAAGCGTGCTTTTACTGACTTTGTTTTGCGTAACAAGTTGGAAATGCTACTAACTTCGAATATTTTCATGATAACAGGAGAGGCAGCTGTACCGGATAGAGCAGATGAAATTTTACCTCTTTGCATTTCGACATTCTTATACTGTAAAACTATCAATATTTTAGCGGAAAACTTGTTCAGTCTGTTTCCCTAGCAACAAGGGGCTGGAAAGGAGCTAGGCGGCATAGTGTAAGCAGGTTTAATACACCCTTCCGGAAAGTACGTCACTTTGGCTATAGCGCCTCGTTTTCGTGTATCAGACATCAGTTAAAGGCCGCGTCTCAATCACGAAAACGAGGCTCTATAGCCAAGGTGACGCACTTTACGGAAGCGTGTATCGCATGCTCGATTGACCGATGCAATCCAGTGTGAAAAGTAATCCGGTACAGTGTCACTCTGGCCGGTGTATGTGTAATGGAGTGCTCACACTGCGCTGGAAAAGTAGTGCCCCCTCGCGGGCAGTATAGTTATCTGGTTGATAAAATAATATTTTTATTACATAATTTCCCCCCTCCTCCCGATTTTATTCGGTACGAGGACAACTGAAGTCCCGGCAAAGAAATGAAAATGGGATGAATTTGTTTTTCGCCAACATGATAGATCAGGAGACATACAGCAAAAATCCAAGCAAAACATCACGCTCCAAGGCACGTCAAGTGTAAAAACAGGTAGACACATCGCATAAAATTCGGGCAAGAGATGTGATACACGAGACAAGGCATTTATTTTTTGTCACAGGGAAAATATTTAAAGGAATATATACCACAGAAGTGAAGCGAATGAGAAGTGGTATCTCAGAACCACTCCAGGAGAAACCAGAAATTAAGAAACGATTTCTCTCATTAGTTATTCCATAGCTGTATGAAAGTAAAATGTTACCTTTGATCCAGCTGCCGTTCGTGATTTTGTATTATGTCTTATGAGCGTCAAACTAAAACTAAACAAACTATTCAGCGGCAATACATGTGTGATTATTTCACACCTTTTAAAATCAGATAATTTTACTGGTAATGGGGAGAATATTGTGGCAGTGCATTAATGGAGCATCCCCTACATTGGATAACTGTATTATCGCCAAAACACTATTATTAACTTATTTAACCTCTTACTAAGGTTGTTACAACAATTGCAGGATAAATGAACATGATATCATATCTATTACCTGTTAAGAATTGTACATACAAACAGATGTATATCGAATTACTCGAATAAACGCCTCTCTCGAATTAACGCCGCCCTCGAATAAACGCCGCAGGGACAAGCAAAAATATTATTAAACGCCGCCCTCGAATAAACGCCGCATTATTTTTCATCGATGCGGCGTTTATTCGAAGCATTCATAACATATGAACTTTATTCTTAGTTTTTTGGGTTAAGTGTTGAACAATAAATGCACACTTGTTGTTACAAAATTTGCAATAAACGCCGCACCTTGAGCGCCAAAAATTTAATAAACGCCGCGGCGTTTATTCGAATAATTACGGTAATTAAATTCTACTAAAGTCTATCTTCTCTATGGCTGGTTTCACAAGTCAACAAAAAACGCACTACTTTTCAGTTCTTGTTGCTTTGACGAAGAAATATCTTTCCATGCTTTTGTTTGCGAAACTGGTCCAATCCTCCCAATAATGAACTTCTCACATCGTTTGAGGCATTCTTGTACAACCTGAAGGCTTTCGGAGTCAAATGGATTACGATAATGACTTTCACTTTCGTCCATAGCCTGGACTCTGTCAATAAGTTTCTGCAAACCTTGAAGAATGTAGCAACAGTTTATTACGGTTAACCTTTCTAGTATTTCATTCAAAAATTGTTCTAATAGCGAACTTGAATTGTTAGTTTCCTTTATAAACACCGCGATAGTAGACAACTCGCTGACAACCGGAAAGTTTTCCCCAGTTATTTTCAGACATTGATCACGTATTTCTTCAACAAACTTTACAACTGTTTGACTCCAACTCGTGTTGAGGTTCTTCAATGAGGTGATCAAAGTATTGCACTTGAGCCATGTTAATGAGACTGTTGAAGACGATATCTGCTTGTGTATTTCTTGCCGCACGTCATTTTGGAAATTGTCGGACATACGAGGGAATTGTCTGCACGCTAGCGTTTTCTGGAAGTGTTTACTTATCCATTGAATGCACTGCAACTGGAAGTTTTTTGTCTGGTACAAACCTTCACACAGTTTCAAACATTCGTATACTTGTGGGATACAATGCTCGCAAGGTTTGTGAAATAAATGACATTTGGTGATCTTAAGGTCAACCACAATTAAATCCACCAAATCTTGCATGCCGTACATATCAGCAAACCGGAACACCTTTGAGGCAGGGAAACTCAATATATCCTGAGTAACTCCGTAAATAAACTTCAAGGTGGCGAGAAATATTTCGTAGCTTACATCGGGTATCACAATGCTAGATTGAGAAGCTTCTCTCCAAGACGATGAAAACATAGCGCCAAAATAATCATAGCGAGCTGCCAAAATTGCTTTATGAGCTTTAACAGTCTTCCCGCCAACAGAAAACTCCACATCTCCAGTACTACTTTCATTAAAAAGTGACAACAGATCACCAGACAATGAAACCTTTTCTCCGGTTGGCTGCTTTCCATTCTTTTCCTCATTTAAACGCAAGGCTTCTTTAATGAACATATGATTAATGTTATCCTCCGAATAAAGTGTTTTCACCCATCCTTCTAATTCGGCAAACGGTACCTCCGGAATGTTAATCTTGCATGAATCAGGCTGATCTTGAATGAATTTATAAAATTCAGGAAATCTTGCTTCTACTATAAAGGAATGAACAGGCAACTCGTTGGACTGTGATACTAGTACCACATCACAATATTGAGTGTCTTTGAAAAGCTTCTGCATGTCATTTTGAAGTTTTTCTTTGGTTTCCAAGAATATCGATTGGCGTAGCTGCTCTTCCTTTTTCCGAAATGCTGGTGTTGGTTTAAAAGTTCGACTGGTCATCCTTTTTTCTAGAAAGAGACATACATGTATTATATAATTAAAAATATTTCTGTAGTAGAATACAATAATGCTGACGCCTCACTATTCATGTATCTTGTCAAGTCTTTTGCATTGTTTTATTAAAGAAAACGAATCTCAACATCTTACAATGAAACATGGAAATAAAAATCGTTCTATGAAAGATGTTTTAACAGTTCATTCATTTCAGACAATAAAGAGTTTCTTATCATGCATATGCCGTAATTAATGGTTTCAATCATTTACTACTTGCATGATAATACATAAATACATCATAATTAATAAATTATAATTGGTTAAGAATACAAATTGTAATATAGCATTTGTAAAGTCTGAACGCTGATTGGCTAAGAGCCGTGCTGATATAACTCAATGTCAACACGGAAACGTCGGGAAATTTCTTTCCTTATATTTCTTTGTGGTATATTATAAAACAAATATAAAACATTTTTTCCGTATTGATATATAGTCCAGCGGAAAAGTAAAAAATCATGCACTTTGTGAAGAAAGCACCCAATTCACAGGAAGTGTAGACTTTAACATGATAATGAATCTTAGATATGGAGGCATCACCAAAATTGATGCTGATGGCTTAAAATTTAGGATTTCTTATATTCTCTTATTAAACTCTATTACTGTTTAAAATTGTGAAATTGCAGGTTCACATATAGCAAAAATGACTTGCATGATTAGAAAGCTTACAAAAAACTACATATAAGACTTTTAAACGGCTGATTGATTTTCCAAGCGGTTTTCCAGTTATTGCTATTTAAAAACGTGATAAATAGGCAAAAATCCCGCCTAAGTCCTGGACACTAGCCCTAAAACATATTTTCAACCGCTCATAACTCCAGAGGAGTTGGAAAATCAAAGTAACTGCTTAAATGTCTTATATGCAGTTTTTTGTAGGCTTTCTAATGACGCATGTCATTTTTGCTATATGTGAACATGCAATTTCACAATTTTTAATTGCATAAGAGATTAATAAGAGAATATAAGAAATCCTAAATATTAAGTCGTCAGCATCAATTTTGGTGATGCCTCCATATCTAAGATTCATTATCATGTTAAAGTCTACACTTCCTGTGAATTCGGTGCTTTCTTCACAAAGTGCATGATTTTCTCAAATATCTGTGCATATCCGCTGGACTATATTAATGCCCAAACAACGGAAGAGCTAGACTCTATCGCAGACTTTCATTATTTGCTTGCCAAACCCGTAGGCTACTGCTCCAGTATCGTTTATTAATTATTGCCCAAACCACTATGTTTGACCTATTCATAATAGGAGCTTTATTACCTCAACCACAGGAGAGTCCCGATTAACACCGGGGCGGGTATATCTAATTTACAATAATCTCTAATATCATTATAAGGATTGTACTTATTTACATGCATTAATATAATTTAAGAAATTTAAAAACAGTTATTACATGTCACCATTGTCCATTATAATTTCAGCTACTTTAATTTTTAAAAATATCAACAGTCCATGGGCTACTGTTTATACTAAAAAAAATATCGATCTATAATATGTTTATCATATTGTTCGTTGGCTAATATATCGGCATTAATCTTACTTGGAATGCGAGCTTCATGTAAAGACTGATTTAACGAGTCAGCACCCAGCTCTTCGCAGATACAAAATAGCAGTTGTCCCACACTAACATAACCCCACAAACCTTGTGTTCTTATGCGTATCGTTATTAAGTATCTCAATTTATTTTTTTATTTGTGCATGCCTAGTGATATTTTTTGATAATTTGATTGGTTGCAATCTGATCATAGGTCTCCCGAAAAGGTCTTTTATTTTTAAAAATAATCCATACAATTTACTTTAAAATGCAATGCTTTGACATGCAATGCTTCAATGTACAGTAAAACCTCTATAATTTGTATTACATGAAGTACGTGCAGCATCACAATAGCGTTGTGTTATTATGTAATATATATCCCCAAGGTTGGCAAGTAAATACAAATTTAAAACTTATACACAAACTTAATGACGAAAAAATTCGTACATAAACATCGAAATTCACTTAAAAAACTAACTCACTATGGTAAGAAATAACTGTAATTCTTCTACATTGTGTTTTTTTGTTCTCTCATCACTTTTAAACGAGTTAATTGTGCGAAAATTCCGAGGAAAATTGCTCAGTTTGGTCAAAACTATGCGGGATGACTGCTTCCGGCGTTACGTCACAAAATAAAGTTCTCTGATTTGCTGAAAATGTTTAAAATTTCAAAAAAACTCTCCGATTGGCTGGCTGAAATTTCCCAGCGAATCAGAGAGCTTTATTTTGTGACGTAACGCCGGGAGCCATCATCCCGCATACTTTTGATCCAACAGGAGCTCCACCTTTGAATTTACTATATGAGTAAATT